GAGAGGATTCTAAGCTGGTGACTAATTTGACTTATAGTATATAGTATTTTGACAGAAAAACGCTTTATAACTTTTCTATGTAGAGCTTTATTAGATATAACTAGGTGAAATTGGTTCAACGTCATATGACTATGTGAAATTCCTTTAAACTCCAAAAAAAAAATGAATCTGTGTAGGGACTCTGTTATCTCCCTAAAATAATGAATCTAAGTAGGGACTCTTTTATCTCCAAAAAAAATATGTTATCTCCCAAAAATAATGAATATGTTTCCCTTTCTGCATTGTAGGGACTCTGGTCAGATATTGAGCAAAAGGGGAACTTGGACTTGGATCGCTCATCTTAAAGGTAGTTGCTTATATACCCAATTCTTCTCATGTGTTCTTATCTATATAAAACATTATTAGACGTATGTGTTTTCTTCGTTATCCTATTTGTGGCTACATCAAGCTATCACTCGATGTATATGTGCAGTAATAAAAAAAAAAAAGGACAACAGTCATTATTTATAATAAACACAAACTACATATTTTAATAGAATTCTAAATTATTCATAGAAAATTACATATATCAGTCCTGTGTTTTATGATGTATGGTTTTTTTTTTTGGTGTTTCACCCGATTCACCCTTTGTGTTTTATTTTGTATGGTATAGTATAGTTAAATATACTGAAATCTAAGTATGATATGATTGACATCAATAGCTGAAAGTTTGTCTTTGATAGTACATGAATACCTTATTTTGAATTAAATGTGTTTTAAGCTTAATATAGAAACCATTATAATACATGAAAGCATTATTTTAAAATATTCAAAAAATACTATGCAATCTGATAGTACCTGCTATGAATAATTTTCTGCTATCCAATATCATAAGTTGGTATGGTTTGCCACAGCGCTATATAAACAACACTATAAGAAACGAAGACATCAATAGGTCGTGATTTTAAAGCTAACAAAAACAAGTGAACAACAAGAATCCGAAGCAGTTTCTCAAAAGATTTGCAAACTGCAACAAAGCACGCAGTACAATCAGCCATATACAATTTAAAGGAATGTTATAACATTGAAATAGCTGATTTCAATTTAGAAGGCATTCGCAGAGAAAGGAAAAAACGACGCATAGCAGACATCAACCGAGTTAGAGAGGAAATGAATTTCGAAACTTTGAAGCACAATTATATGGATGTGTGTTGGGAGAATAGAGCCCTAAAAGAAGAGCTATGGAAAGCCAAAAAAATTAGGCGATGTTTTAAACTAGGGGGTTAAATAAACATATTTTGAATTACTTCTTTCAATATTTTAATTATTATTATTGTATGATAACAGTCAAAAATATATATCTTGCAAAGAAATTTTTCTGGAGTAAAATAAACATGTTTTAAACTACTTCTTTCAATATATTTTAATAATTATTGTATCATAACATTTAAAAATATACCTTGCATAGATATTTTTTCAAACAAATTTAAAGTTTCAACAAACTGTTTTTGCTATAAGGAAAAACACATGGAAAAACAAGATCAAGCAAGGTATAGAAGGCTAATGCGAAGATCATCCTTATACAAAGGAGAAACAAGGTTGGGAACAACAACCCATCCAGTAGAAAAGCTAGATTTGCCCAACCACAATGTATGCCAGTTGTTTGGACACAATATACATTTACTTTAATGATGAATGCAGTACAAAGAGTACACCAACCACAAACAACCAGAGGTTGGTAACACCAAATTTTCTTATAAAGATAACTGATTTTTTAAGGACTTATGCATGTTGCTTACCTTATTAAAAAACAATTAGAGGAGAAACAAGTGCACCAACTAATACACATATATCTGGTAGTGCTTCAAGACGACATACAAGAATTGAAGACATACAACCCACACCCACATCTAGGCGCGGAATGAATTCACTATCGCCATTGGGGCCTGCCACTGAAAATGGAGACTCTAACTCTATACCTCCCCAACCCAACTTAACAAGAGGTAATTTGATTTTATATACTCCAATTTTAAAAAAATTTAAACCAATAATTGCTACATATGTATAATCAACACTGTTTTCTATGACACTAGTCAGCAATAACTCAACAAATGCCGACCAAAGGGCACCATCAACACCACTTACACTTCATTATAGTAAGTTTACAACTACCTCATTTATATAAAAACCTATAATATAACACTTTCAACCTAACTAATTCACTCCTATATGAATTCTTAAAAGGAAAATTCACAAAACCCTGGAACTTTGGTGGCCCAAAAAACATGTGTCGAGATTGCGGTGCAAAGGTTTGGATAGAGGAAAGAGTAAAAATAGAAAAGAAACACAACTACCTGAAATACAACATATGCTGTCAAAAAGGGAAGGTCATACTCCCACTTCTTACAGAATCACCAGACTACTTAAAGTCGCTTCTCGATCCTAATAATGGGTCACGCTCCACAAGGTTCAAGGAATGCATTAGAACTTACAATTCTATATTTGCATTCACGTCAATGGGAGGCAAAGTGGACAACACTATTAATAGAGGAAGAGGTCCTTATGTATACAAAATCCATGGTCAAAATTACCACAAGATTGGATCTTTGTTACCACCAGATGGGAAGCAACCTAGATTCACCCAACTCTATGTGCACGACATTGACAATGAAGTTCAGAATAGAATTAACTCACTAGCAACAACCGACCTTGAGCCTGAAATAGTTGATGGACAATCTACCGTCCAGTAATGAACTTGCAGCTTTGATTGTGGGAAATGGAGAAAGTGAAGGAGGTCAACGGGATGTCATAGTTGAAGAAAAGTGTCGTGGACTACGAAGGATATCTAAAAACCACCCTAGTTTCATGGCTTTACAATATCCGCTTTTATTTCCATATGGAGAAGATGACTATAGAATTGACATCCTACACCGAGATGTAGAGTCAACAACGTGTAAGAAAAAAAAAAACAGTCACAATGTGCGATTATTATGCTTTCTGCTTGATGGAAAGATTAAATGAGGCTCGCACTCTCATTCTTTGCGATCGTTTGCGCCAACAATTCATTGTGGATGCATTCACATGCATGCAAGAAGTGAGGTTAGATTATGTTCGTCTCAACCAGCAAACAATTAGAAAAGAATTGTTGTGTGGATTGACTGATGTTGTTTCTCGAGGGGACACATCTCTCGCTTCAATAGGACAACGAGTTTTCCTTCCGTCCTCCTTCACTGCTAGGCCTAGATACATGGTGGAGAACTACCATGATGCAATGGCCATTTACCGATAGGCTGGACCACCGGATCTATTCATAACGTTTACTTGCAATCCAAAGTGGCCAGAAATTACAGAATTCTTAGCAGACATACCAGGTCAAGGTTCAGAAGACCGACCAGATGTTGTGGCTCACGTATTTAAAATCAAGCTAGATGAATTAATACGTGATATGACTACAAGAGAACATTTTGGGAGGACAATAGCAGGTAGTAACTTAACCTTAATTCTGAGTAAAAAAAATACTACACAGAAAAATATGAAAGCTAACATTTTGTTTTACCTATGCAGTGGTATATACCATTGAATTTCAGAAAAGGAGACTACCAATTGCGCACATCCTATTATTCTTGCATTCGGATGATAAGCCCCAAAGTCCAGAAGACATAGATAGAATTATTTCGGGGCAGAACTCTCGAACAAGGATCATGACTTAATTGGTTACAAAATTGTCGTCCAATCGATGATGCATGGACCATGTGGGGCAATGAATCAAAGCTCTCCATGGATGCAAGATGGAAAGTGCTCAAAATACTATCCAAAGGATTTTGAAGGAGCAACAATGCTCAATGATGAGGGCTACCCTATTTACAGAAGACGAGATAATGGCAGAACAGCAACGAAAAATGGACAGACATTGGATAATAGATTTGTCATACCCTACAACATCGACCTGGTGGTTAAATATCAAGCCCACATAAATGTTGAATATTGTAACAAAGATAGGTCAATGAAATACCTATTAAAATACATGAACAAAGGTCCAGACATGGCTCTTGCAAGGATTGAGCAGACTAGAGGGGAAAATGAAGGGTCTCACGCTCAAACAGAAGCGGACAAAGTAGTAGACGAGATAGAGAATTATCTAAAATGTAGATATGTTTCTGCCTCTGAAGCTTGCTGGAGAATATTTGCATTCATCATCCAATAAAAGGATTCCCCGGTACAAAGACTTACGTTCCACCTAGAAAATCAACAACAAGTGCTTTTTGAAGACCATGAGCACCTAGATGATGTCTTGGAAAGAGTGGGGCAGAAGAAAACAACATTGACAGATTGGATGACTGCTAATAAGTTGTATGCAGAAGCACGTAACTGATATATGTAGACTTCCCTACAGAGTGGAGGTGGTTGAGTGATGAGAAAAAATGGGAAAAAAGGAAGATAGGGATGAGCATTGGAAGGATTTATTTTTCCCACCCAGCGTCCGGCGAGAAGTATTATTTAAGATTGTTGCTTAATATTGTCAAAGATGCGACATGCTTCGAAGACATCAGGACAGTTGGTGGAATTATACATCTAACATACAAGGCAGCATGTCATGCCCTTGGACTTCTAACTGGAGATAATGAATGGCATGAGTGTTATATGAAGCGGTTGTATGGGCTACAAGCACACAATTACGGAACCTCTTTGTTACAATACTACTGTTTTGTGAGGTTTCAGACCCAAAAGACTTGTGGGAAAAGCATTGGGAGGCCTTATCAGATGATATACTTCACAGACAACGCCAAAGACTAGGTATTTCAAACTTGAGTCTTAATAATGAGCAAATTCAAAACTACGCTCTATATGAGATCGAACAACTCTTAAATAGAGAGAATAGAAGCCCCATTGATTACCACGGAATACCGCTACCAGATGCAGCTTTACTACAAGACTCTGGAAACCGAATGTTATTAGAAGAGCAAAATTACGACACACAATCGTTGGCTCGCAAGAGCATGGATTGAATACTGAACAGAGACATGTTTATGATAACATTCTTGAAGCGGTGTACCATAACACAGTGGAAACTCTTCTTTGTTTATGGTAGTAGAGGGACTGGAAAGACTTATTTATGGAAAGCTTTAATATCAAAGCTTCGGTCAGAAGAACACATAGTCCTCGCGGTGGCATCGTTAGGAATAGCAGCACTACTTCTGCCTTCTGGAAGAACCGCACGTTCTAGGTTCAAGATCCCTGTGAATTTGAATGAGAATTTTTGTTGTAGCATTGAACAGGATTCCGACCTTGCTGAATTAATCCACAAAACTAAGCTCATAATATGGGGTGAGGCACCTATGGTCCATAGACATGCATTTGAAGCAGTAAACCGCACCTTGAGAGATATAATGCAACTCTTTGACCAAATAGACAAGGATTAAGTTTTGGGTGGAAAATTGTTGTATTAGAAGGCGATCTCCTCTATATACTTCATGTTGTTCCAAAAGGGGGACGAGTAGACATTGTAGATGCATCTGTCAACAAATCAAACAACATTTGGCCACACTGTATTATACACACATTGAAGACAAATATGCGGCTACGTCAGTCAAACATACATGACCGGCAGCTTTCAGCAAATGGGTATTAGACATGGGAGATGGCCAAATAACAGCAACAACAAAAGAAGGTGAGGATGAACCAATGTGGATAGATATTCCAACTGACTTATTAATAAATGGAGGTGCTGATCCAATACTAACATTGGTGGAGGAAGTGTACCCTGAAATCCTTGATAAGCCCAAGGACCTGAAATATCTCCAACAACGGGCTATACTCGCCACAAAAAATGAAACAGTCGACAAGATAAATGGACATATCTTACAAATTATTCAAGGAGAGGAGAGGATCTACAAGAGTGCAGACAGAATATGCCCAGCTAATAGAGGTGGGAGAAATGTGGAGTCATTGTACCCAACAAAATTCCTAAACACCTCGTAGTTCCCGGGTGTACCAAACCATGAAATACGTCTTAAGGTAGGGTGCCTAATACTTTTATTGAGGAACATCAGCCAAAGAGATGGCTTATGTAATGGTACACGCCTTATTGTAACCAGATTACAAAATAGAGTGATTAAAGCACGGATTGTAACTGAGACAAATGTAGGAGACCTGGTTTGCATACCACGTGTGGAAATGTCTCAATCAGATACAAAATGGCCATTCATCCTAAAGCGTCGGCAGTTCCCATTCAAGGTTTACTTTGCAATGACAATCAACAAAAGCCAAGGGTAAACTTTCGATCACGTTGGAATATACTTACCAGAACCAGTCTTCAGCCATGGGCAACTTTACGTGGCTGTCTCAAGAGTCACCGCAAGAAAGGGACTCAAAATCAGCATCGCTAACACAAAATGTGAAGAGGGCCAGATTGAGAAAACAAAAAATGTCGTGTACAAAGAAATTTTTAATGATCTTTAGCTACGGAAAAAATGTATTTGTTAGACATAGGTTTAACAGTAAGCCTTGACTTACCAACCGTTAATAAAATCTTATTTAAACACCATGCTTTCTCTTGCATAAAGTTTATTTCATGTTTAATATTATTCAAAGGCTGGACCACTGTCAGCTCGAGTGATAAGGACGTGAGATGTAGTATACAAATTCAATGACCAGCCACTTCTTTTGATATGCTTCTCTTGGACAAAGAGGTAAAAAAAAATTACTTAAAAATGTTAGCTACATTACCTATCAAAAAAATAACAACGAAATATCTACAACAATGCAGAGAGGACATATTCAGGCCACTATAAGGAAGGACTTGCTGAAATCATACAAGGAGGAAATTATAGAAGGAAAAATACACACCTTCAATAATTTTGAAGTAGCTAAGAACAACAAGCTTCACTGCCCTATTAAAAAGGACCAAATCATAAGATTCACACCTTTCACTGTTGTGGTACAAGAAGAAGAAAGTGCAGCTAAAATCCCGATGAACAGCTTTCAAATACACCCCTTTGACCGTTTGCAAGATCGAAATAAAAAGACAGACTACGCCATAGGTAAGCTACCTTACATTCAGTGGACTAAACTCACATTCAAACACATGCCATACAACATCTACAATAAATACTTTCCTACTTCTTAATCCTTGCATAATAATATCAAGATGGCTGCAAAGTACTCCTCATCACCTCTACAGAAGTCACCATGTACCAAGGTAAGAAAACAACAAAGAACAAAATCAGAACTCCAACATCTACACTTCAAATAAAACATTCCTACTGCTCAACCACAATAACATCATTCCTAACATGTGGCATGCAGGAAACTACCAGTTGAGCTCAACCCATGCTACAAAGATACACATTAACTTGTCAATTCCTGAAATAGAAAGTTTTAAGCAAGGGTAAGCAACTTTTACATTGATATAAATATAGCAAATTCAAAAAAACCGGCGATCTAAACACAGGACATCAATCTACCAACAAGGCTAACATGGTAGAGCCAAAAATACCCATAAAACAATTAGAGGCGAAACCACATGAAATTGTTGAGGAAGCCATGTTTAAAAACAGAAAAAGGATTGAAGATATTCTACAGTTGGATCCACAAGAAAAGGTAAGCGCCAATCACTAATTTTCCCATACATCTATGTTTCACGGATCTAACATTTCCAGAAATAATAATCAGTCCCATATAGACATTCACTAAAAGAGAAGAAAACCATTACCACTTATTTTCTTAATACTTTATGCTAAAGCCACACATAATCCATGTTTACTTTTTGCAAACATGTTAAAAAAAATTCTTCACACATCACAATTCATGGCATGATAGTTTAGCAGCATTTAAAATATAATGTTGACTTCGCATGTATGTTTATTATCACGACACTTAATATTTAACAAATGAAAATATGTTTGAATATAAGCAACGACACTTTAATAAAACTGAACATACTACCGAACTACTATATTATTGCAGGACATGTTTACTTGCAGTGCAACAGTAACAAGCATTCACGCTGACAAAAAATGGCATTACAACTTTTGTGCTGCATGTAAGAAAAAGATAGATGAGACTTTTTACTGATCAAACTGCAATGATATAGTCAAATACCCTAAGACAAGATACATTAGAATACCAACTACACACTCATTAAAAAAGAAACAGATAAAATAATCTTGCATTGTAACAACCAACACAACTCGCAGGTACCTCTTAACTATTGACATAGACGATGGAAGTGCATGTATTCCAATGGCTTTGTTCAACAAGGAGGCTGAAAAAATTGTGGGAAGTATGGTCCACAAATTAATGGAACTCGAGAAAAAGGTACGACTCTTATAACTTACTAACAACAACTACAATATAATGCCTTAAAACTAAGATGACCATATACAAAATTTAGGAAAATGGTAAAGAAAAGGTGTTGCAACGATAAGAGCATTGTGTTGGCAAAAATTCGTTTTCAAGGTCAAGTTAAGCACAACAAGTAACAAAACTGAACTCTTGCCAAAAAACATACGACATCAACTACAAATTAGAAAAGGCTTACCAAGAGCAACAAAATAAAAGCCAGGTGTGTTACAACACAAATACCAATGGGATTGCCTTAAATTAATACCTAGACACTACTAAAATATATGCATTTTGCAGGAAGCCATCATACACCAATCAGAGCATCTTGAGGATGACAACACAGGAAAAACTGAAACACAAAGTACTCCAAAGAAGAGGACTCGAGATGAGATGTAAGTCAAACATCTCAAAACAGTGAATATCAGTTACAAAAAAATGACCCACAAACAATGAAAAACGTAATCTCTTAAATACAGGAAGAACGACAAAGAAGATGGAGCATCAACAACCCAGACAGTTGTAGCAGATGGACAGTGAAAGGAACAAAATAGGACGCACAAAAAAAAAGGAAAAACAACAAACGCAGCTTGGAAGAAAAATTAGAAGAAGCTAATCAACAACTTGCAAAGAATGGAGTGTTAAATATTGTTTTTCAACACTCTGTGTTCGAAACATAATCTTTAGCAAATTTCAAAAACACAAATAATGATGAACAAGCCGTTGGCATGAAAAATAAAAACCTTAATCAAAGCGGTTGCTATTGTCTTTCAACACTCTTTGTCATAATATAATCTTTAACAAATTTCAAATACACATAACCATGATGGACAACCCATTTGCTCAACAATGAAATTAATCAAACCGGTAACCCGGGGCATCGCCCGGGTGACACACTAGTTACGTATAATAAGGGTCCTAGTCCAGCACTAGCTCAATCATGAGATAATAAGATCTCTAAATATTGCAGACAAAAAATAAACAACAAACAAATAATGAAATAATATTATGTATTACTACGTATATATTTTGTTTGTAATTAGGTGATATACGAGTCATGTTTGATTTTTTTAAAATAAAATTATAAAAAGAATTAGCTAGACATCTTTGTATTAAATTTCTATTTTTCAATGCAATCATTTACTAGTAAGTACGTAGTACGTTATAAGATTATTGCTTATATGCTTACATATCCAATGATGCAATCATTAATCAAATCATGTTGCGTTTAGAAGTGAATTTCAAGAAAAAAGAAACTAGCTAATTAGAATATTATAGAGATTATAAGTTGTTTTGATAGATTAAGCAAGTGCACTACATTATTATGATGTAAAAATTATAATAAACCTAAAGACAATGTACAAATCTCTCTTTCAATCTTTTAGGGGTCTTCCTAACGAATTTGACTAATACAACACTATAAGAAGATAGTCATACATTTCCATCATTGATGTGTGGTTCCTACAAGCGCTTGTACGATACGCATCGTACAGATGTTTCATTAAAAAAATACGAAAAGAACATATTATAGAAATGTAATGAACATATAGAGATAGTGAAAAGAACATACTAATAAAATGTAATGAACATATACCTAGATTGAAAATAACATATTTGCACCAAAAAAGAGTGGAAAGAATATATGTCCATGTTCTTTGATTATCAGTAATGTACTTTTTTTTGTGGCATAATGTTCATTGATTATTGTTAAATGTTCTTTGAATTTTGTCTTTAGATTATGGTGGGTATATATAAATAATATAATGTTCATTACATAATATTATCATGTTCTTTATTAATATAAATGTTCTTTAGATATACAAAAAAAAAAAAAAAAAAAAACAAAAAAAATAGATGTTTTTTACAAAACGGCTATATGTTCGGTCCGTTATTTTTTTATTTTTTTTTTTTTACAGACGCCTGTACCATAAAAATCTCATTTTCATCGTACCAATAATATTTAAAAATTCTTAGCTGAGACCTCAAAGGTAAAAATAGAAAGTAAAATTAGGTTCATGTGCCTCGTACTAGACACTCAAAAAAAAAAAAAAAGGGTGATCTTCTTGTCGTAGATTGTAACAAAGGATCCAAACAACGAAATACATAGTACTACTCCATAGGATCAGATGGAAATTCATATTGGACTAGACTTGGAATTACCAATTTTATTGAGTTGGATTGAATTCGAATTAACTGCAAATCTAAAACTGAATTTTCATCTCCTCAATACTAAATCAACTCGTCTTGTGTGTGGCTAACATATCATATGGCCAATTGCAAAAGAACAAAGTAACCCCTATAACTTTGACCGAGTAACCCTTATAATACGAACGAAGTAACCCCTTTAACACTGACCTCGTAACCCCTATAATTCTAACAAAGAAACCTCCATAATAACTAACTACACGATGTGGCCAGCCACATATAAAAATTTGTGACACAAAACTATTGGAGTAAAACAAGCTAATGTTCAAAAAAAAAAAAAAAAGCTTTAGTCCCACCACAACCTAATTTTTTATTATTATTATTATTATTAATTGTATGGAGTATTTAGTTTGTAATTAGTCATTAGGTGAGATTTGAGTCATACTTGATTTTTTTTAAAAAAGAAATCATACTTGATTTTTTTTAAAAAGAAATCATACTTGATTTTTAAAATTACATTAAAAATGAATTAGTCGTCTCTGTACTAAAATTTTATTTTCCAATGCAATCATTTATTAGTGAATGCGTAATAAGATCCTTGCTTATATGCTTACATCTCCAATAATGCATATAGCGTTTTAAGAGCGAATTTGGATTTTTAAAAAAAACTAAAAAATAAAAACTTATATAAATGGCTTTTAAAATATTATATAATTAGATTAGACCCGTGCGATGCACGACATTAAAAGACTCTCTGAAATATAAAGTATATATTTTATTTATTCTTATTGCTTAATTACCTCATATATATGAGAAAAATTATAGAGACATAACCATTAGTTGTAAATAATGCTAATTTAATATAATTAATTTTAAAGAAGAGCAAACCGAATATGAAAATTTAAGCAAATATGAAATGTTAGACTTGTACTATACACGATTTTAAGCAAATAAGATATGATTTTAAACTTGATATGGAAAATTAAATAAAAATAAATAAATAAAAAAAAAACATACATACAAAGTATTTTGTTGAATGAAACATAAGGGAAAGATACAAATAGTTGGTGATAGGAGGAAAATAAATAAATTAAAGAGTATAGATAAATTGAAAGGAGGAGATTTTAAATTTGAAATTTGAAACCAGAGAAAAATATAATGTCGTCAGATTTTATTTAGGCGGGAAAATTTTTCTTGTAAAGCTGCCACATGGACAATATGATCTCAGCGGTCGCTAGTTTAGAGATATTTATTTATAGAATAGATGGTGAGTTGTTTGATAAGCAGAAAAATTTTATATGCACCCAATGATAATTCTTTGCCTTTTTCGTTTTTTTTTTTAATAAATAATACGTAGTAATAATTAGACTAAAATAGCAAGTGAAGAAAAAATACTTTTGGGAGCACCTTTTGCTATGTGCACCCGGTATCATGTAAAAACTATGGGTTTTTTTTTTTTTTGGTGAGAAAGTGGGGCAACCCCCATGTAAAAACTGTGATAAAGAGTGTCAAATGTTCCTTTCATCCCTCAACATAAACACTAAATTAAACCTTTACGTATAATCTTACACAGATGAGTAGAGTTGTTGGTTCAAGTGTTTAGGTCGAGTTTGGGTCAAAATTCAAGAATGGTCACTTTCAACTCAGGTCAGATCATATGAGATAATTCAGGTTGATTTTAAGTCAAGATTAAATTTGAGTTATTATTTTCTCAGATTGAAATAAGTCAAATCATGATCACGTTAATTTTTGAATTGGGTCAACTCTTGTTAGAGAGTTTAAGATCAAAGTCACATTGGCCTCGTAGCTAATGGACCTGCAAAGCAACTACATAGTTAGATACAATAGAGAATTGGAAATTGCATCATCATGGATTCATGGGCCTATATCTTTGGACTGTTGAGGAGAGGAAAGAACTTATGGGCTTCTCTTTGGGCCTTAGGCAATATGAAAGGCCCATGGGCCTTGATCTAGTTACCACATAATGTGGACTTAATACTACCTCCGTAATTTTTAGTTGACACGTTTTGACTTTAGCACTATTCACACAATCCTCTTTAACCGTGTTTGTGCTTTATACGTAATTAAAAATATAGTCGTGTGGGATCTTGTTAAATTCGTCACGATATATATTTCCAAAATATCAACTTTTCATAATTTTTTCTTATCGATAATTAAATATATTAATAGTTGAATTTGTGCATTGACAAAAGTAACTAAAGAATAGTGTCAACTAAAAATAAACGGAGGAAGTATTAGTTAGTGTCCAGCTTTGAGGGGACTTGTAGCCCAAGGCAACATGGGCCTAGTGCACAACAACAATAAATCAATCGTTAATAGCTGAGGTCAAGCCCAATTACGTATTTATGAGGTCGCCATCAAAATGAACATTTAGTATAACAAAAATGAACATTTTCTAACTTAACATATTTTACAATAATTTTGTATTTCTCAATAATCAAATGTTCATTTTCATGCAGTATGATGTTTATATGTTCATTTTCATGTCGCGTGATGTTCATTCTTATAAAATAAATATTCAATTAATATAAACTTTTGCGTTTGTTTAATTGTATAAAATGTTCGTTTTTATAATAAAGGATGTTCAATTAATGTTAGCATTAATAATGTTTGACATTAGCATTTTGTTCATTATTTAAAAACATATTGTTGATTTATTTAATTGGTATTAAATCCTATAGTTCAGCGAATTGCAAGATATCCATTCAAGAGAATTGAATGAATCAAGGTATTTCACTTGAAACTTAAAAAAAATGTTGATGAATAAGCAATAACATTCTATATTCATTTTTATTTACAACTTAAATGATCAGTTTATATAATATTAGATATACAATCCTTTTTTTCAGTTTCATAGTCTCTTTATTTTACTGTTATATTATAAATGTTCATTTTTATACATTGCAATATTTAGAAAGAAATATTATTTTTTTTCAAGTTAATGTTCATTTTTTTTTCTAAAAAATGTTCATTTGTGTCGCGCGACTCCAACCACAGCTAGGTGGGCGCGACCCTAACTGAAAACACAAATTTTCATATGTCATTGGCTTCACCGCAATTTTTTTTCCTTTTTTTTTAATTCTCTCTCTCTCCTCTCCTCTCAGATCTCTCATTTTCTCTTTATAACTCTCTCTCTAACCGTGAATGGCAAGAGCACCGACTTCCACTGTCGTCTTCGTCTTAGTCGTCGTCTTAGTCAATCAAACCAACCCAGATCTCCGCATCTAAATTTAGAAGCTCCTAACCCTAACATTTTCCCCAAATTTCAACAGATTCAGGTACAAATTCATCAATTCATTCCAATTTCCTACTGATTTCTGCTACCTCTGTCGTTGTCTTCGTCTCCGCCGTCGTCATCTTCGTCTTCATCGTCTTAGTCAATCAAACCAACCCAGGTCTCCGCCTCTAAATTTCAAAGCTCCAAACCCTAACTTCCAATTTCCTATTGATTTCTGTTTCGTTGAATTTTGCCCAATTTTTAGGGTTTCGATTGTTCTGAACTTGATTTGTGCAGATTTGTTGGAGATTGCGGTGGCTGAACTTGTGACTGTAGGCGCGCGGCTGGGTGCACGAGATGGTTGATTGTTGTGGTGGTTGGAATTGGTGGTTTAGTTAAGACTTATTAAGTCGATCAGGGTTACTAGGTCGGAGGGGTTACTTGGTCGAGGGATTACTTGTGTATTAGCTGGCCACACAAAAAACCTGTTGAGTTAAAAATTTACCACTATATTAAATTGGATATTCCATATTGTGGACTTGGTATTATTTAGTGTTGATTAATTATAATTTAAAATAATTGATGCTAACTAGTAAATTTTACTAGTATATGAAATTACTGAGAAAGAAAACATTAATTAACCAGCAAAATCAATAGTTGCCAGTTTTGATAAATTATTATATCAGTTAACATCTAATTATTCGACTTAGTAAAAAATCGAGTGAATAGAACGTGTCCCAATTTGCCTTTTCAAGGGACTGTAACATAGACAATGGTTAAATCACTAGCAGCAGCAGAAAGGCCTTGAAAGTTGAAACTGGAAAAGCTTAGAAATATGACAAACATCCCACAATCCTTCATTCTATATATATCGCTCTGTCAATTGTAAAAACTTACATATATCACACATGTAATAATCACAACAAAAATTATTGAACAATCCTCTTAAGAGACTGTTCAATAGTTGTATGATTGTCCGATACAAGCAGGATCCGTATAGGATCCCTTGAGGAAAGATAAAAAAATAAATAAAGAATCAAAAGAATACAAAACTTTACTTCCAAGGAACCCAAAACCTGTAAACAAAAAAATCGTAATCAAACTGTAAAGGCACCACTTTCTCACCAAGAAAAAGAAGCAGGCATGGAGCGAAGATTGATTTAAGCCTGCATATCACCAACATTATTATTACACAGGTCAGTATGAATCCATAATAGACCAAAAGCAAACTGCGAAGTTGAGTTAGCTGAAGATTAATTTGGCAATAAGAAATGGCACATTACGAATACCTGGTGGGGAGGGGGGTTGAAAGATCTCCATCCAGGTCTTGTCCATTGTCACGTTCAGGCAAAAATCATTACTTTCAGGAATTATAAGACTAAACAGATTCTTTTTCTCTTTTGTTGATATTTTCAGGATCTAACAAATAGAAACCAGCTTAATGACGCAGTAAGAATCAACTTTTTGGGGCCAGCAAAGCAAGAGCATCAGCATGTGCAGGGGAGAGCGAACTCACTATGGGCTGCATTTGATTGCCGTACATTGAAACAAGATGTGAAAAGGCCCTTCCTATCAGGGATTTAACTTCACTAGTCTCAATGGGTGACAATGCCACTTGAGCAAAAAGATTCACCAAGTCTGGAACCAGTGACAAGATCTGCCACGTAATTTAAAAAAAAAATTAGAAATTTCTAAAAAAAAGTGATTAGCTGGAGAACCTTCCAGGAAATGGATACATTGATACATCATAAGATTCATAACTAGTTATCACAGAATAACAATACCTCGGGATGGGATGACAAAACAAGATTACAAACACAGCTATAAACAGCGGTTGACTCCTCATGATCTTCTTTAATAGGAAGAGTTTTCAGGAAAACAGGTAGTACCTGAAAAAAGAATGATATACATTTGGGCCTATCATAATCCAGAATCTTATCATGATCTTAAGAAGTTCTGTAGAAAGCTTAGTTACTGACCTGATTTAATGGGATTGCCTCGGGGTGTACCATAATCATCCTTGCCACAGCACCTGCTGCATTATCCCTCACGGCATTATCTGGTTCAGATTCACAAAAAAGTGGATGGAGTCCTCTCAAGATGTCGCCATAATATCTATTATCGATGTTAAATAAAACAAGCTAACAAGAAAATTCAAGACCAGAGTCAAATAACAATATGTAAAATTTCTTTTAGTGCTAGCAAGCTTGAGTGAAATTTAAATACACAAAAAGGATACTTTAAAGCCACTTCACCGCCATTTCTACAGAATTCGCCAACACAGAAGGCAGCATTTCTCCGATTTGTTGCATCAGAAGAAACCAATTCTTTCAAAACTAATGGCATCACCGCCTGAAAACACAAGTCACTGTCTCATAACCCTTGCACATAATATTTAAAATAAGATGTAATAATCCTATGATTTTCTTTGTGAAAATGAGACTAGTAATGTCTCGAATTAGGAAAACAAAAACACTTTACACAATCAAATTCAAGGATTAGTCTTAGCAAACAGTGCAATTAATCAAAAACACTTTACATCAACATAGCCTGCAATAGGTGGACCCATGTTCTGTGCAACTTCTGCAAGGGTTGCAACTACCATAGTCCGATCTTGTGGTGGACGTGAAGCTTTCTGCAGATGAAATACATTCAGATAAAAAAAAAATTTTAAAAAAAAAAATTAAATGACTCTTAAGTATACATGACGAGGAATCATGCAATTTAAATGATAACCCACCGCAAATTTCATCAGGGGACTGAATAGTTTGGCTAATATGGGTGCAAAATGAGGACCCATAGATTTGGCAAATGCAGGAAGAAGGTCAGAAACTGCATCCATTAGGACCTCATCGTGCTCTGTGTCATCTTCATCAATGTCACTATCTGACTCAATCTGCTGACAGACTGACTGCTCATTGAGCAGCACTAGTGTTGCATCAACTAGCTGCGGCATATCTGAAAATAAATAAACAACCAAATCATGAGACATGTTTGTATCAGGGAGAAAAGTAAAATCATAAAAGAAATCCATTTGTAGAATAATACTAACAAGCCTCAATAGCCGTAAATCCAATATCTTTAATGGTGTCTGCTATGCCCATACAGGCTTGAGCTACTACTTCCTTGTCATCATCCTCCGTCATAGTCTTAATATAAATATTCAGGACAGTATCTGACACAAGGGGGGAATAATTAGATAACAGTCATCAGAGGGTCCAAAGCTAGCCATACAAAACCTGAAACAAAGAACCCAATGTCTCTAACAACACAATCTTATCATTACCAAGTACTTCTCTTGCCTTTGTTGAACCGTCCTGCAAGTAAATACACAAAAAAGTTAGAGCATACTTTTGACTGCAAATTAGGGCTTCAAACACTACTATAGCTAGAAATTGGTCATTGTAAATCTTGCAGATGCTTTACTAGCAAAGATGATGGTTTCTTAAATGCCAGTCAATGACACATATTGTCAAATTTAGAGCATAAAATGTTTCTAAAAATATTAATTCCCAATCCAGCACTACATAACTGACTGAGGGTAGGTCACCACAGCCCTTATATTGTTCAGAACTTCAGATACACCAAATAAAAATTGAGAGCAAAATTAAGTTAAGCTAAGAAAAATAAAATATATTCAGAAGTACACTCACCACATGACCTTGAAAGACTGCGTGTGCTGCTATTAGTATATCTGCAGTCAAAGCATAACTGATTATATATATATATATATATATATATATATATATATATATATATATATATATATATATATATATATATATATATATAAAGCGGAAAAAAAAATATGCACTCTGGTAGAGACGCATGGTATCTCTCTAGAATGCCAGGTATCCCACTTTTTTTTTTTTTTTTGAGGATACTATTGTGCATATTATAAACGTACAATAGGAAGTTGCCACTTTTCAATGCCAAGTGTCCCTCTTTTTCTTAATAAGTACATGTACACAAATAATATCATATACATACACAATACAAAGTAGGAAATTAAAATTCTTATTTATGATGGGAAGTGATGAAGGTTACTAAACATACATTGCGTGATTGAAAAAAATACCAATGGTTTAATTGTAAGGACTTGCTTGCAATGTAAATAAAATACCTAGCTACATGCTTACCATAGGAGAGCTGAGCAACTTGCAAGCTACCGTAGCCCAAACAAGCTACATCGTGATTGAAAAAAAGACAACTAAACTCCACGCACATTGTGACATGTGTATAACCATTTAATTTTTTTATATTTTTATTTTTTGCAAACTACAAGAAGTTGTAGCTCACCATTGGAACACTTTGTGTCTAAAAAGTGTTGTATCTTAAAATTTGATGTGGCAAAGCAAGCTACAAGGCATTGTAGCTTACCATTGGAGATGCTCTTACTCCATCCCAATTGTTTTACTTGCTCGTTTTTCATTATTTATTATACATATTTTTTATTTAGAATTTATTAGTTCATATTCTTCCATAAAAAAGAGTATGCATATGATAAAAATTAACCTCAAGCACGGGCAAGGGCCACCAAGTCTACATTAAGGAAGATTGTGCGTGCTAATGCTGGTCCCTTAGGTCACAAATCAATTCATCAAAACATTATTTCATGAATATCTATAAATGATGGTAGAGAAATAATACTTTCACCAGAGAAATTCTGATTGTACTTAGACAGGAAGAAGAGAATCTTATTCATGAACACTAGAGAATAAAACAACTCCATATCACACATACACATTATTCATATACATACATTTGATTCCTTTTTAAGCTGTTCAACCTCAAAAGATAAAAAGGCAGGGCTTCAGAAAACATCTAAACTACTAACAGAGAATGGAGGTCATTCCGGCTCTCCAACATTTACAATCCGCTTAAAGAGAAAAGAGAATTAATGACTGGAAACAGCTATAAGAAACCAGTTGCTGCTGCTTTTTATGCAGCTAGTCAGCTACCTATGACCAAATTAGCTAAGATTTAAAAAGGAAAGCAGAAAACTTGGTTTTGATGATATCTTGTTCAAAGTTTATAATAAACATAACTCTTCTTAGAGTTTCAACAAAAAATTACATAAGCTGATAAGAAGTCTAAGTTGATTTGTTTGGTAAATAGCGCTTTATTTTGAAGGATCCTTCCAAGAGGAGCCTGTAATCAGCTAGATCGCCATTTTTCATTTCATTTCCATGCATATTCATGCCTTTTATTTATATTTAATTGCTCGGTTGCTCCCTTCCCACCCCCCCCCCCCTTCTCTCGCTACTCAATCAACAACAATAAAAGGAGGCCTTCTAAATAACCGCCATAAATTTCATCACTGCATCTAATATCATGACAGCACAATATTTATGAGTCCAATTAAAAGGTAGCTTCATATGTGAAAATAGGTGTTTGCATAGGTCAAGAATAATTCTAAATGGTCAGTACAAGAGCATTCTGCAATCAAACAAGAAACAATCAATCAATATACACAGATAAGAAGGAAATGGTAAGATTTGACATGGTAGAGACCATAAAGTAAAATGCAGCAGCAGATATAGCAACTCACTTTTCAAGATTTGACATGGTAGAGACCATAAAGTAAAATGCAGCAGCAGATATAGCAACTCACTTTTCAAGGCAATTATAGCCTGAAGCCTTACATCCTCGTGAAAGTAACCAGAATGTCGTACCAAGATTTTCAATGTCTCCTCCAAGTATCTTTACAAGGACAATCAAGGATCCCAACGCATACATAGGTAAGGGAAGTAATCATCAAGAAAATACAGCAAGAGTAATACATAGTTAACGTATAACAAAAGGATACGGTGCATAAAAGCTTCTTGTATGAAGAGCAAATAGTCCTAGAGCCTGAGTTGCGGCTGCCTTTTCATCTAACACTCCTGTTCTTACACTGATATTCCTAACTCTTGGTTCATCATGAACTTCATCATCTGATGAGACCCCACCAAATCCATTAACATTTTCATCACCGTCAGATTCATCAATGTCAATTGCAGAACCATCATCAAGATTGCAGGAGGAAAATGCTAATGGCACAACATGTGGAAGGTACTGTTTTTAAATCAAAAAGTTATCTATTGATATATATATACAAGTAAACAAAGAATATTCAATTAGTTGCGAAAAAAAAGGCCATCATTACCTTCACAAATCCATCATCCAGAATTTCAGCCACATTGCTAACGAATCCATGGGTATATTCGCGCAGCTCACTATATTCCAACCCAAAACCCTGAAGTGACATGAAAGACTGATACTTAGAAACAAAAGCCAGCCATAAACCACATCAAAATTTAAAGAAAACTTACAGCAATTGCTGCTTCAATATAAGGTGGCAATATAGGCTCCATCCTTTCTCTTCCAACGGACATTGCTACTATTCCTACTAACTCGGTTGCCCTTGCTCGTGAACGTAGATCCTCATCATTTGTCAAAACCAAGAAGTTTTTCATCAGCTCAAGAACCCTTTCAGCATATGGTAGGAAAGCTTGTTCTGCTGCAGATGCGACAGAACCAATCGCAGACTGAAAAAACATATAAAAGGAAGAGTTCAATCTGGAGGACAACTCAAAATAAGACGCATCACTCAGCCAAAAGGGGCATGGCAAGTGAGGAGATAACGAAATAATATCTAACCATGCAAGTCTCTTGCAAATTTCGGGGATTGTTTTGAAGAGCAGCCAGAAGCTTTCCCATCAAAGGATCAATAAATGGGAGGATTTCTTCACCCATATTCTCACAAAAGGCAGCCAGTGCATAGTATGACTTTTCCTGATCAGGAAATCCAAATCAATCATAAAAGTAAGCTACAACAAGATCGATGATTGATAGTAATTAACATCATAATTTACCTTTACTTCATTAGATGCATCCTCCAAAGCATTTAATAAACAAGGAAGCACACTCTCATAGTGTGATATAATCTCAGGCTGCAGGTGCTCAGCAAACTGACCTAATGCAAATGAAGCAGCACCTCTCACCATCTGCTCTAGGTCACTTAAAGACCCCAAAACTATATGAAGCATGGGCTTCAGATTACTTTTCATCAAATCCAAACAGCCCTCGGATACAACTCCCAAGGCTGTGACAGCAGCTTCCCTAAACTTTGGGTCGACATTTTGACAGCTTATGGATGCAAATTCAAATACTGGTGGGAACACTTGCTTTGGGAGGTTCAAAGCCATGGTGTCAATAACTTCTGCAGCAGCCCGATCTGGGGCAAGGTCCTCATCATCTTCCCTATTACTTGACTCCGCAAGCAAAGGGCAGATGACATGCAAAACTGGCATAACCAACTTGTGTTTCTTAAGAGAATTATACTTGTATTTTGCCAGCCAGGAGATAATTTGAATAGCCTGACAAACAAAATGACACATGGAAAGATAAGCATCACTGCAAACTCCTTTATATAAAGTTATAAACACTATGAGTTGGTGATAGATGCCAAACATATTGTCTAACCTGGTGACGGGTGCTCTCGTCCAAAGTCTGATTAGAACAAACATCAAGAGAGAACTGAACTATGGATTTAACAGAATCTCCAAGAAGTGGTGCAGGGGACTCAATCAGCTCATCAAATATTTCAAAGGCAATAACAGCCACATCTTCTTCTCCAGAAGCAAGACACTGTCTAGCTGCATGCAATATTCCGGGTATAAAGTCCCTGAACCTGACCTACATAACAAACGAACCCTAAGTTGTAAAAGTATTCAGTAATTATTGAAGAGCAGTTTTCTACAGTGATCAGCCAAACTGGCAGTAACTCGAAGTTTGTTTTAAGAGGACAACTGAACCTGACCACTTTAGATGCACATTTGTTTTAATTAACATAACAGGTAATTTCCAAACGGTTGCCTTAGATAGAGGAGGAAAAAGGCTGGAATTGTGGCAGATAGTAGTAGGGTTGAGCAAAACTATCTGATAATCCGAAATTCCGATCCGCATCCGATCCGAAAATTTAGGATAACCGATCCGAAATTTTCGGATATCGGATATCAAAAATTTTGATTTCGGATATCCGAATATCCGAAAAAAAGTCGGATATCGGATCGGATATCCGATCCGAAATTCGAATAAAACAATGTTTTTACCATTTTAAAAAAATACGGATAACCCATTAACCCTAAGAGGCTAAGACCTAAGTCTCCACTCTTCAGTAAACCGCCTCAGCGCCTCTTTCTCTTTCTCCTCTATTTTCTCTCTCCTCCTGACCTCCTCCCTCTTCTCTCATCTCAGACCTCCCTCCTTCATCTCAGATCTCCCTCCTCTCTCCTATCTCATCTCAGATCTCCCTCCTCCCTCCCCTCTAATCTCAGATAGTCAGATCTGCCTTACTAATTACAACAAAATTAGCCCCAAATCGTTTTCAAATATGAGCGGTCGCTCCCTCATTCGAAGAGGATGTTCTTCAATGGTTAAATTTCTACAATTTTGAGGTAAAAGGCGTGAGCGGCGCTCCGAATGGTATGCACGGGTAAGGGTTGATTTAACTTGTAAAAGTTACCGAGGTTGCTTAGGATTCTTGAATGAACTACTTTATTTAATTGCTACTTCTATATGTTTGCAGTGTAATGAATAACGATTTCTGATGGTAGTAACTTGTTTCAAACTTCTGAATTTTCTAAGTATAATACACTTTATAATATAATGAAGTTCAACAACTGCGATTTGATGACTTATGATTTGAGCGGCCTATGTGCGATTTGATGATTGATGATTGATAAGCTGATGATGCGTGACGTCGGTGATGGTTGTGAAGAGAAGCAAAGCAACTAAAGAAGGAGAGGAAGATCAGGGTCGGTTTTTTGGGGCTTTTTTTTATTTTTATTTTTTTCTATTTTGGCTTTATTTTATTTTAATTTTTCTTTTATTCGGTGGGGGTGATTCTACTGAATTGATGTATGATTTTGAGTTTGTTTTCTCGTTACAAGCATTGAGAATTACTACTTTTTGTTTTATGGTTATTGGCATTGAGAATTATGTTTTTGAATTTTTAAAAATCAATTTTTCCATTAAAGAAGTCGGATATAGGATATCCGTCTTATCCGATCCGAAAATTTCGGATATCCGGATTTTCGGAAATCCGACATCTTCGGATCGGATACGGATATCAAATATCCAGATTTTCGGATACAGATATCCGATCCGAAATCCAGTTTCGGATCGGATATCCGATCCGTGCTTAGGCCTAGATAGCAGGCTAGCAGTACAGCAACGAAATATCCATACAACTATGGAGCAATGGGCGTTAAAATAGGTTGGATTGTCAAATTGGTCATAAGAGTAATAAAATTAGGGGGTTGCGGATTTGCTCTTATTCTCCAATATGGAGCTATTTTGTATTTATCTTTGAAAAACTATCACTTTCCTCATTTCATTATGGTAGTTAAAGGCTAACATTATAAGTAAGGATTTTAGAGTTCAAAGATTGGTAGCTCCCTCTTAATATTTATTTTCTTTGCTTTGTAGGGAAGATAGGAATTACGATGCAATTGCCAAGTTATTTATATGTGTAACAAATGGAGCCATCTCAATGATCTCATGACTAAGAGTTCAAATATATCCAACATCTTTTCACTAGACTTTAGATTTCCCTTAGAAAATTTAGCTATATGGATTTATACAAGTGATTTCAAAACTAAAGCAGATAACTGGGTTCAAAAATTCACCAGTCCAGCTATTACTCTTCTTTCTTGATAAGATTATCAATTAGCCTTTTGTTGTTTTGACTACCAAGTGAATCCCCAAGAAACACCTATTTTAAAAATTGTACATGAGGCTAAATTGCATGATGAATTAGAAACTCACCACTTCAGATGCATCATGTGTAAACTCTAGAAACGATCCCACAGCCCTAGCAAAGAAAATTTAATATACTATTATCATAAACCAAAATTAAAAACAATTCCCAGAAACACAGAACTACAAGACCAAAAAAACCAGGACTTCTCATTACTTGAGTGCTGCGACTCTAACTCGGCTGCTAGTCTCGTCCTGCAAGCACTTTAGCAAAAGACTTTGAAGATCTGCAAAATGTGGTCGAAACGTATCCCCTATTGTTTCAGTCAATGAGCTGAAAAGAATCAATGAAACCTAGCATGAAAACCCAAAGTGCAATCTGTTAGCTTATGATATCCTCTCAGGTTCCATATGAGAGCAACAAAAACGAATGCAACAAGCAACAACATATATAAGTACACTAATACGCTATGGAAACGTCACATAACACATACACACATGCAAAAAAAAAAATATACATGCATGGTTACAGCTCAAGACCCCATTAAAAGACATCGTAAACTAAGAACTTAGGAAGTGCAGAAAAAATTCAGATTATTAGGATTTACGCTTAGAGATCATCCAGATCAATCTAACAATGGTATTGGTCAATACAATATGACTCTCAAATGATATTGCTTATAGTTGCATTTTAACTGTCATTGTTTTATTTCTGGTATAACAAAACTTTTGTGAGCACTCTCTGGTTTGATTTACATTCTTATTATAAGGGCAGGGCTTTAAATATCAATACTACACTGCGTTAAGGCAAATACAATGCCAGAACTACAGGTATGGGGCAAATACATGACTAAGTAAAGCAAACAAACCACCACTGCACTGTGTAAAAACCAATGCCTGAAATTACTTTCTATCTCCCGCTTATGTGGGTTTTCAGCAGCGATTTCAGCAGTTTGGACAAATGAATCAAGGAATTTCCCACCTAGAAAATGAAGGCTGCATCAAACCTGTTGAAAAATGGGCTCACTAAAAAGAAATGGAGATGAGCTCACCAAGTTGCAAAATTACAGTGTAAGAATTCAGTCAAATGATGGCTAGAAATAGTGCCAAATCACTTCTTCAGTGTGGCAACTGTAGCATTAGTGATGGCTGCAGCTATGAAGTGGGGCCATGCTCACTGTATGGAAGTCAAGTTGGATACAGTGAGGGCAATTTTATCTCTTCTGCAATATCAATGTTATAGCTACTTTAGGGTGATCCATTATCCTGGAACGTGAGGGCTTTAACCTACCCAACATGTTTCATTGGTTGAGATCCCTAGGCATTCCTCTCAGCTCAAGAAAACTTATCATCAGATCTCATTTATAACATATACAGAGTAATATATGTGTATGTATTCACATGTATGTATCTCACTCAATGTGTGCACATATCTCAGGGGACAAGAGAGGGATTCGAGATCCTAAAAGCCAAAGTAAATTCATAAAGTCATCAATAAAAATGAAGCAAGATGGCAATACAGTCATTCGAATAAGGAGTATGAACAAAATTTAGTCTTTTGACAAAATAGCTACAAAGTGTCAATAAGAGAGCAGCAGCTGTCAAGCATACCTCCCTGTGATCCTCTTGTGCACTCTGACTGCATAGAAAAAGAAATGGCAACAATTCAGGCCACTCTCCAGCAGGAACAGCATACTTTGCAACAACACCGACAACATTTGCACTAGCTCGTCGCACTGGTGGACTGCAAAATCAGAGTTGTTAGTATCCTCTGATTCAAAAGTTAAGTCTATATAGAACATACATTTCACCATTTCCGGTAAATCAAACACCTTGCATATCTCAAATATATTGGGTTTTCGAAAAATTCAAAATTGATCCCATTATCACTATAGAATCATTGCACACTATTCCACTAGTATCAAAATTCATCAATTGCATCACTTATTATATACAATTAAAAACCTAACTACAACAATTAATTCACAAATAACCATTATCAAATTAGTTCCTCAGTTACCCATCATCAAATTAGTTCCTCAATTACTCATCATCAAGCTAATTCCTCAATTACCCATTACCAAACTTATTCCTCAATTACCCATTACCAAACTTATTACTCAATTACGCATTATCAAATTTATACCTCAATTACATACTCAATATCAAATCATCTCAATTCTTCAAACAAATCAAATAAAATCCCATCAAAATGCAAGAAAAACAATGGAGAAGAGAGAGAAAGAAAACCTGTGCTCCATAGTAATGCTATCAATGAGAGATTGCTTAACAAGTTGACGAAGCTGAGAATTAAGCTTAGCCCAATGCCCAGTAATCTTCTTGCGAAGCAAAACAGCAGCAAGTTGACGAACATTGGGAGTTTTAGCAGTACGAAGATGATGAATTAAAGCAGGAACAACTTGTGGGTCTTTAGCTAATCGCTTAATTTGATCTTCAGCTTGCCGACGAGCATCATTGTCGGGCATCAAGAATTGAATGAGTAGCAACTCCAGTGACTGCGCCATTGCACGGGGAGGAGAGAGAAAGATGGGTTTGTGCGCCGGAGTGTTCACGGGGTGGCCGTGTGAGTGGCGGCGCAAATTTGGGGGTTGCTTGGAAGTGAAGGGGTTTGCAACCTAATTGGGGGATTGGGGTTTAAGCAAAATACAAATGGAGTATTTTGGGAAAAAAATTCTTTTCTCTTTTTTCTTTTCTTTTCTTTTTTTTTTTTTAAATGATGAAAATCATGTACTTGTAATATGTTTTTTTCAAGGGTAATGATATATGTAAAATATACTTCTCGAAATGGAATTAAGTTCGGAATTTATGATAAAATTAATGCTAATTTTTCTTCAATATTTCCTTTTTATGTATATCATTTTCCTTTTTTCAAAATTATGCAAAGATAATGACTTTATTATGTGATTAGTTTTGGAGAGAAAATAAATAATATGGTCCATCATTGTAATGATATAATTTTTTTTTTTTGGATAGTGAGCCATAAGGCAGGGTGATGAGAATTAAACCCACGATAATCTTCTGGAATCGGGAGAGAAATTCTAACTACATGTGTTATCCCCACTCTCATGGTCCATTATCATAAGATTGTGGATGAATAGAAGCTCTGAAAAAATTATTATAACCAATAATTAGCTAAAATTATAGAATATAAATTCTCTCATGTGATATTTTATCATTAAAATGAATATTTTAATTTTAAGAAAAAACTCCGTATCATTTATATAATAAAAAGAAATATATTGTATCCAAATCATGCAAGATTCTTCTCGAAAGAAAAATTATTTTGTGAATTTTAGCCAAAAAAATCCAAAATGATACATGGGTTACATGTCTCAAGAAATTATTATAAATTAATAAAACAAATAATTTCTAGCCTATAAAAGAAAAAAAAATTATATATATATATATATATATATATATATATATATATATATATATATATCACATAAACTAGTAACATATTGCATGAATAATAAACTAGTCGTTAGGATGTGCCTTGAATCAATTTGTTTGGCCTCTAAGAATGACCTAATGTTCTATAAATTGTAGAGTATTCTTCTTAAGGATCAACAAAACTAATTTTTTTTTTAATTAGTCCATTGGCATTAATCTTTTTAGTATTTATTATAACAAGAGCTATAACTTAATATATAGTTAAAAAATAAATTACTATTTTACTCAGTGTCGGTCCTATATAATTTAAAAATAAATTACTATTCTACTCAATGTCGGTCTCGACATTTTTGGGGACTTAGGCAAAATAGTTATCTAGGGGCCCTCTTATATTAAAACGTAAACAAAAATACTTGATACAAAATCAATTTGATTGTGTTTTAACTTGATTGTTATATCATTATTAAAAAAAATGATTAGAAACTTACAATGAACATTTTACTACCCAATTCATTCAAATTGTCCATTTCCGACGATAAAACTAAAATCCAACAATACAAGACAAAAGACTGACAAATATAACAACAAATGGCCATAATCAATTTAGAGGAGAACCTGTTATGAATTCTAACTCTTATCAGTTGTTAACTATGAAGGAGATAGATGCTATTAACATTGTAGACAAGAATCCTATCGAGGGTGATGGTAATCCCTCTTTGGGATCATGATAGTCCTTTCTTGGAATATAAGGGGTCTCAATGACCCTGAGAAGGTAGCTGTGTTAAAACGGCTGCTTTTAGAGCAAAAATTTTGATGTTGTTTGCATTTTGGAAACTAAAGTGAAGGAGCACAGAAGTAAGGCCATTCAAAAGAAATTTGGTACCTCTTGGACTTGGCACTGTAATTATCCTAGCTCTCATAGGGGCAGAATATGGGTGGGATGGAAGAATGATTGTTTGACTCTTAATATTCTAGCTTTTACTGAGCAACTTGTTCACTGCTTACTTTACTCTAAACAGTTGCAGGTTCAGATTTTAGTCACTTTTGTTTATGGTCTTCATTCTATTCAGGATAGGAAACAGTCGTGGTCTGGTCTTAAAGGATTACCTAATGCTGTTATTCCTTAATTGTGTGTTGGTGATTTCAATTCTATTTTATGTGCTGAAGATAGATTGAATGGGGCTCCTGTTTCTGATTATGAAACTAGAGACTTCCAACATTGTATTGATGATTTAGCCCTTGTTGAAATTAAAAGTAAGGGTGCCCCTTTTTCTTGGTGTAACAAGGCTCATATTGGTCCTAGGACTTTTACAAGGATTGATAGGGGCTTTGTAAATCAAGAGTGGCTTAACCTTTATGGGCATGTTGAAGCCATCTTTCTCCCTCCTTCTCTTTCTGATCACAGTCCTATTGCTTTGGATATTGTTCAGTCTCAGCCTGGGAAGGGGAGGCCTTTCAGATTTCTTAACTGTCTGGCTTATCATGATAGTTTTTTTAATACAGTTTCTACTGCTTGGCAAGCTCATAGCTCTAGATCTGCAATGTATAGAGTTTGGTGCAAGCTTAAACAGGTTAAAATTGCTTTGAAGGGCCTGAGCATTCAGAAACTTGGGGATGTTAGTGCTAAGGTTGAAGCTGCTCATCACAACCTTATATCCATCCAGCATCAAATGTATAGTGATCTGGACAATGAAGAGTTGAGTTCCCAGGAACTGGAAGCTATTGAAGAAGTTAAAAAATGGCTGGGGATTCAAGAGAGCATCTATAAACAGAAGTCTCGAAGTGACTGGCTTAAGCTTGGTGATGGGAACAGTAAGTTCTTTTTCTCTGTCATGAAGAACAGGAAAAGTAGAAACAGAATTGATGCCTTATATACTGAACAAGATGTTCTTCTTAAGACCCCTGATGAAATTGTTCAGGAGTTAACTGGTTTTTATAAACAACTTCTTGGTTCTAAAGCTGGCTCCCTCCCTGGTATTGATCTTAGTTTAATGAGAAAGGGGAAGCAGTTGTCTAGGGAAGCTCAAAATGCCCTTATTGCCCCTATTACTATTGATGAAATTGATATGGCTCTTAAGGGGATTGATGATTATAAGGCCCCAGGTATTGATGGTTTTAACTCCTGTTTCTTTAAGAAAGCTTGGAGTGTTGTGAAAGGTGATGTTTATGAAGGTGTTCTGGAGTTTTTTAGTACTGGGATTCTTCTGAAGCAATGGAATTGTACTATAGTGACTCTTGTTCCTAAAGTTCAGAATCCTTCATATGCTAAGGAATTCAGGCCTATTGCTTGTTGTACTGTTTTGTATAAGTTGATATCTAAGATTCTTACTACAAGGCTTGCTCTTGTACTCCATGAGATCATTGATCCCTCTCAAGCTGGGTTTATCCCTGGGAAGCATATTGGAGACAATATTCTGCTTGCTACTGAGTTGATTAAAGGGTATAGTCATAAGCATATCTCCCCCAGGTGTATGATGAAGATTGACCTGAAAAAGGCTTATGACTCAATTGAATGGGGGTTTTTAGAGTCTGTGATGGTTGAGCTCAACTTTCCTGGTCAGTTTATTTCCTGGATCATGGGCTGTGTTTCTTCTATCTCATATTCCATTCTAGTTAATGGAGTTCCTACTGTGCCTTTTCCTGCTAAAAAGGGGCTTAGGCAAGGAGATCATATGTCTCCCTTTCTGTTTGCTATTGGTATGGAATATCTTTCTAAGTGTTTCTCTGAGTTGCATGCCAATCCTGACTTTAACTATCATCCCAGATGTGAAAAAATGGCTCTTACTCACCTCATGTTTGCTGATGACTTACTGATGTTTTCTAGGGCTGATGTTGTTTCTGTTTCCCTCCTGTTTCATGCTTTCTCTAAATTTTCAGAGGCTTCAGGACTCTCAGCCAATCTGGACAAGAGTGAAGTTTTCTTTGGGGGTCTTACTAGTGATGATCAAGCCTTCCCGAGGTCTTTAATTGGGGTTGCTCCTGGTTCAATTCCCTTCAGGTATCTAGGAGTTCCTCTTTCTTCAAAGAAGCTGACTATTGCTCAATGTAAACCTCTGATTGATAAGGTGACTAATAGGATCAATGGTTGGACTGCTAGACTTCTATCTTATGCTGGCAGGCTCAGCTTATCAGAAGTGTTCTCTTTGGCCTTCAAACGTACTGGGCTCAGATTTTTGTGCTTCCTAAGAAGGTCTTAAAAGAAATTGAGTCTAGATTTAGGGCTTTTCTTTGGACTGGGAATGCTAACCCCTCCAAGAAAGCCCTGGTTTCTTGGTCTCAGGTCTGCTTGCCTAAAGTTAGTGGAGGTTGGAACCTGATTTCACTTCCTGAGTGGAACCTTGCAACCATCACTAAGCTTCTATGGGATTTGTCTCATAAGACTGACAGCTTATGGGTCAAATGGGTGCATATATATTATTTCAAACATAAACCTTGGTGGAGTTTTCCTGCACCTAAAAAATGTTCTTGGGTTCTTAAGAGAATCCTGAAATGCAAGGCTATAATTGACTTATTGGTAGCTGGAATACCGTGATGCAGGATAATAAGTTCAGGATTAAAAAGCTTTATCAGGCCATCACTACTCAGGCTACTAAAGTGCCATGGAGAAGGATAATCTGTAATAATTTGGCTTCCCCTAAAAGTCTGTTTATTACATGGCTAGCTATTAGGAACAGACTTGCTACTAAGGACAGGCTGCAAAAATGGAGTATTCCCTGTGATCCTGTCTGTTTTATGTGCAATCAGAGTCCTGAAACTATTTAACATTTGTTTTTTGAATGTGATTATAGCAGGAATATTTGGATTCAAGTGCTAAGTATTTTTGGAGTTCAGAGGAATATTAGTAGCTTTGAAACTGAGGTTGCTTGGATCTCCAAGATTTGTAGGAAAGCTAGGGCTAAAAATAGACTGCTTGGAATGTGCTATGCTGAAGCTGTTTATCAAATTTGGCTTCAGAGAAATGCTTTGGTTTTCACAGGATCATTGAAGTCTGCTGATGTGGTGTTTAGAGATATTTTGTTTTCTGTAGCTTGTAGGTGCCCTGCTAGTGACATGCACTTTCTCTTGCTGTAATCTTTTTATGATGTTGGCTGGTTTTGGCTGTTTGGTTGCTTGTTTCTTTGTTTCTCTTTGTAAACCTGTCTGGTCTGTCCTCCTCTTGGGGAACCCTTCATAGAAGGTGGCTCCAAGTGTTTGATAGGCTAGGTTTGGTAGGGGGTAGGGTGTGCAGGGAACCCTTCCTAGAAGGTGGCTATGTTTCCCCTCTCCCTTGAGAGATTGTTTGACTCTTTGAGTCTTGTGTAGTCTTGTTGTTTCTGGTTACAACCTAGCTTTTGTAAGTTGTAATCTCCTTTTTTGGGTAATAAAATTTCTTTTCCAAAAAAAAAAAAAATTTAGAGGAGAAGATTTAGTAATCAAGTAACTAAAATGATGAGAGATTAAAGTGAGTTACCATTCTTAATATTCTATTATTGTG